TTTCAGTCCTCCATTGTGGCTTGTTGGGCTTGAAACTGTTGGTCCTTGTTCATGTTACATCTGATCTTTTGAAGAAGTTGTCTGGATCAATATCCTCCAAACTGTTCAGAATTTTAAAAGTTTCACCGAGATCAATCCCGTCATGTCTGGTTTGCAGTGTTGTTAACCCTCTGGCCCTCAACCGTACCTGGTATAAGAGTTGACTTATTTCAGGAATGATTTTTGTTGCCTGGTGTTGAACTTTCTCCAAAGAACCTGTCTTTCTGAAGATGAGGTCTCCATAATAGGATACAACAATCCAAGTGGGGGTACACCAGAGATTTATACAATAACTACCTTCTCCTAAAAGTAAAAAAATATGCTTCATTGTTCCCAGAATTTGTTAGCTTTTTTTTTTAGTACCACTCCCACTTGTTGTGCAACTTCCTGTGAATTACCTGAATGAATTAATTATTACCTGAAGGCCACCAAGACTAGTGACCCCAATGACGACAGGAAGCCGGCATCTTGCCAAAGGTAGAAGGAAAACTACCTTGTTTGTTTTATACATGAAACATTTATACATGATATGTCAAATGTAATGTTGTCAAAGGTTCATCCATAGGATCCATTCATCCTGGATAGATGCGATAAGAAACAGTGAGAGACTTGTACACTCCACCATTTTTGCCCTGATGATTTTTTCAAGCTGGATTTTAAATTTTAGCAGTTTTGCCAGTTACATGGGTTTATAACCCTGTGAGTGAAATAGCATCTCCCATTTTCAGTCCTACATTGTGGCTTGTTGAGCTTGAAACCATTGTTTATTGTCTGATTGAATGAATGGTGGATTCTGACTGCAAGGTCTTTTTCGTCATTAATCAGCTACAAGGTAATGTTGTAGTAATTGTGACGTGGATTGTTTATGACCTATATTCAAGGTTTTGCATTTTTCAATATTAAAAATCATTTGTCAGTCTTCTGACCATTTGTGGAATTCATGTAGATCTCATTATAAGGCCTTAATAAAATTTTCCATTTCCTACTTTACCGTAAATCTTGGTGTCATCTGCAAATTTAATGATGTGGTTTGTAATATACTCATCTATGTCATTGATGTATATGACAAAAAGTGTTGGTCCCAAAATGGTCCCTTGCTATATCCCACTCACATTTCTCCAGTCAGATTCTTTCCCGTTTAGCACGACCCTTTGTTTTCTTTGTTTTTAACATTGTATTACCCTACACATGTGGCCAATATGTTACCCCTATAGTCTATGCAGTAGAGTACATATGGCTAATATGTTACTCAATTGTAAGATAATGTATCTTATTCGTATAACTAATGTTATCCTACTTAGGGCTAATACATTATCCTATACATATATGAATAGGATTATATCAGTACTCTATATATATTATATGACTTAATACATTATCCAATGCATATGACTAATATGTTACCCAATATATATGACTAATATAATCATGGCAAAAAGCTGCCATGTGAGCAAAGACACACATCATATTAAAGATTCCTCAATTGGCATACACTAGATACCTAACTTATAGTCAACAGGACTTCTAAAATTGCCATGCCCAAGAAGTTTGTACTCACCTATTTGTGCTTGTGGGGGTTGAACTCTAGCTCTTTGGTCCCTCCTCTCAACAGTCAATCAACTGATGAGCCTACTGGGCTCTATCATATCTACATTTGAAACTGTGTATGGACAGTTGTGGAATTCACCACATCACTGCCTAATGCATTCCACCTGTTAACTACTCTGACACTGAAAAAGTTCTTTCTAACGTCCCTGTGGCTCATTTGGGTACTCAGTTTCCACTTGTGTCCCGTGTTTGACTGTACCTGTAGGAGTGGAGGCCTAGGCTCTGTTAGTAGTCTGGCAGGCTCCGGTGGTGCTCCAGAAACCTGAGGAGTCTGTCCTGTAGGATGGAATTCCCTTCTCAGCCTCAGTGAAGACTCCAAGTCACTCACTTCAAGGTCGACGTTGTTGAGCAGCTTGGGTCATTCCATGTGAATTCACCAAAGGCCTCCCACTCGACCCTTTCTAAATCTAATGAAATTTTGTAATAAAGTAGCCCTAGACCCCAAATGAAATTGTGCAAAATATTAGAGCTCAATCTGCTTTAGTTCTTAAATAATAGGTCCATGTTCAATGGGCTCTCATCCCGTTAATGCGTACATATCGTAAAAAGGGCCAACTTTGACCCTTTATCAAATCACGTCTAGTGCCCAGAGAGGTGTGAAATTTGGCATACCAGGACAACTTTTGGTGCGGAATACAGCAGTGTAATCAAAAAAGTAGTTTGGGTAGCCATTCAGCTACCAATCCATGCTAAAATCACTGCCAAATTTTGTCGTGAGAAATTTGGACCCCAATTTGGAGACCACTTACTCATCACCAAAAGGTCTAAATGCCATGATCTTTTGCAACGATGTATAACAAGCACAATATTATGCAGTGATGCAATAGCAACTCTGTTGTATCCATATGTCCAGAGGTGACCCACTTGAAAGTTGGCCAAAAAAAAAAAATTGTGCAAAACTAGCCAACTTTCAAGGCAAAATATCTCAATATGCGTCATTCCCACTTTGGTTTTGAATGACACCATTGGATAGAACAGATTTTTCTGTATAAGAGTAACTTTTATTTAGGTTGGGATCTGAATTCCTAGTTCAGCCAGAGGACTCTGAAAATGACATACCTTGGTGCGATATCGAAAAAATCAAATTATGATTCTCCATCTTCTTTGTGCACTGATCATGACTGCTAGCAAATTGATATCCAAACTGATTGGAAAAATTTTAAGCTTCATTGGGTAGAACATTTTGGGTGGGATTCAGAATTATTATTAAACAATCAGTGCTATTTTAAGTTCCTGTTCTATATTTATCTTTACATCTTTGTAGTATCGTGTCAGCAGGTCAAACATTACCGTTTACTTATTTGTGTATTTACTTGCAATAAATACACAAATAAATAAAAAGCAATATTAATATTAATGTATTACAGGTCTCACTTGAAATTACTGTATTCAGTTAGTTAAATAATTTGATTTGAATTCGATTACAGATACGTCATGAATCAGGATTCCATTGGTTTATTGCCATGTGCTATTGCTAGCCATGAGCTTGGCTCTTCTGAATGTAACTTGACAACCTACACTCCTAAGAAAGGCTTGAAGTTTCTAAACAGTATAGTGCAGAAGATCAAAAACTGATAGCAAAGTGAAGTGAACTGAACTTGGATGGAGAATCTTAAGTATGCCTCCATCATGAAGCTTTGCTGTTGACGAAATTTGAATTTTTGCAAAATACTTGCTGCAATCCCTTCAAGAAGAAATGCCATGTAAAACGAAAAGATTTGCAACCAATCACAGTAGCTACTGCAGAGAAAATGTCAGATATGCTGAAAGTCAGTATTAAGCCTGGCCAAAAGCTGTGCACATCATGCAAAAAGAAATTCGAGAGTAAGCAGGTGAGTGAGTCCAGCTCTACTGAATCTGATGGCCCTGCTGATAATATGGAAATCTGTGAAAGTATAGACTCAAGTTTATCAGTATTAGGCATCTCACCTATTAAATATCAACGAGTTAGTGCAAGGGATAAGCATGGTTACGCAAAGCCTAAGATTAGCCAAGCACAGGAAATAATTGCCGAGCAGATTGCTGCAAGATTGATTGCCAAAACCTGTTGGTACCAAGCTCTAGCCAACAGTGCACAAATTGCCAAGACTTCAATAAACTCATTGAAGAAATGAAGCTAAAATTCCATGTAGCAAAGCGCCAAGAAAAAATATAAATCCTAACCCTCGTGCCACAAAGCTGGTCTATCAAAAAGAAAATGGAGCAATTCAAAGTTTCAGAATACATGGTTCCCGAAGCTAGGAAGCTGAAAGAAGAATAGGGAATACTAGCAATTCCTAAGAAAATGCAGGGCAAGTCAGTTCCTGAGGAAGTGAAGGAAAGGGTAGTACAGTTTTTTGAGGATGAAGAATTTAGTCGAATGTGTACCGGAAAGAATGGAAAGAAAAAAAAAAGTCATGATCAGTGCACAAAGAAGATGGAGAATCATAATTATATTTTTTTGATATCGCACCAAGGTATGTCATTTTCAGAGTCCTCTGGCTGAACTAGGAATTCAGATCCCAACCTAAATAAAGTTACTCTTGAACAGAAAAATCTGCTCTATCCAATGGTGTCATTCAAAACCAAATTGGGAATGATGCATATTGAGATATTTTGCCTTGAAAGTTGGCTAGTTTTGCACATAATTTTTTGGGGGCCAACTTTCAAGTGGGCCACCTCTGGACATATGGATACAACAGAGTTGCTATTGCACTTGTTATACATCGTTGCAAAAGATCATGCATTTAGACCTTTTGCTGATGAGTAAGTGGTCTCCAAATTGGGGTCCAAATTTCTCGCGACAAAATTTGGCAGTGATTTTAGCATGGATGGATAGCTGAATGGCCACCCATACTGCTTTTTCGATTACACTACGTTATTCTACACCAAAAGTTGTCCTGGTATGTCAAATTTCACACTCCTACAGGCAATAGAAGTGATTTAACAAAGGGTCAAAGTTGGTCATTTTTGTGGTACTTACGCATTAACGGGACGAGAGCCCATTGAATATGGACCTGTTATTTAAGAACCAAAGCAGATTGAGCTCTAATATTTTGCAAAGTGTCATTTGGGGTCTAGGGCTATCTTACTACAAAATTTCATGGCATTTGGAGAGGGTCGAGTGGGAGCCATAGGTGACTTTTTGGTGATTTGAGATGGAATGACCCTCAGCCAAAACAAGTACCCGAACCCCATATATGACCACGCCAACACCATGAACTCCTACACTGGAGTGTAGTTCTCACCGACTTGAGAATGGTCCAGGACGGACCGAAGCGTCGTCGTCCCTTCACTTTCTAGTGTGTGGTCTGGTCAACTCCTACTGAAGAAACTGAAGAAACAGTACTGAAGAAAGAATACCGCCACACAGAATTCCGCCGCAAATTCCCAGACGGTCAAATGCAAATCCTCGAAAAGGACGACGATCCCGAGGGTACCAAACTACCGAGGTTCAAATTCAAATTGTTCAATTTTCAAATTCAAGGTTGTTCTGTTCAGATGTAAAGTGTCGCTTTGCACATTAGGCTGCAACCTGACGACCAAGCTTCCTGCGAGCTACTACTATAAACTACGAGCGACCACGAATTAATAAGACCCCATCTACCCAGAGCTCCAGTATCATCTATTGTTACTGGTAATGGCTCCAAAAACCCTCCACTTACGGGCTATTCATGCCCATGCCACCTTTTGGGTGACTTAATCTTTATCAATCAATCGATTAATCAGCAGTATAATTTCCACAGTGATTTAGTTAACTTCAGTACAGACGCTTCAGAGATACCATACCTCTTCAACCTCAAGAATGTAGCACTCTGCGTGTACAGTTCCAACTGACCCCAAAACGCTAGAGCTTCGACACAGAGCAGACAGTATACTCCGACCGCATCGAGCTCTCACGCTTTCGGCCTCGTGGAATTTAGACACTCACCATCCCGCATCTGGCCGCCTCGCTCTTCCGTATCAAGCTCCGCGACTCCAGCCACACAGCTCTGCTCTGCTCTAAGCTCCGTCTCAATATCTACGATACTGCCAGCAACCGACTGTTGTAACCATAACTACTAAAAACCCACTAAACACTGTGTATCTAATCTACCTAACGTAACTGCTCGGCTTAGACTCGGTTACAAGTATCTTTGGGAATTCTCATTATCTGCTGATGTAGACCTGACCAAATGTAAACTGTGTCAACAAAATTATTCGCATTATTATTGAATTTTGTAACTAGCTCATCAAGATTGTAACTTGCTTAGCTAAATGAATTGTGGGGTTCAGTCCCTGAGCCCATTATGTGCCTCTGTAACCCTTTCCACTACCGCCCACAAGATGGGTATGGGGTGCATAATAAATGAACTAAACTAACCAACGTAACATAATCGTACGTTACAAACTCAAATAACTGATACACTAAGAGTTGCAGTTTTAGCATTTAATTTTAAGGGAAGCTGACTTTCGATAAGGATTTGTATTTTTTATTTTTTTATTGTCCGCAAGATGCAACTGTCTGATAGCTCCCAGCTTGACTATGTATATGGATTCAAATACCTTGGCCTTGAGGTGCCACTATATGGTCCTGTTGTATTCAGACTGTCGTCAGTATAAATAAAGGCTCCGAGCTCTCAAGGCCACAGGACACAGCACCGCTCCTGTGCCAGGTAAGTCCACTACGGGCTCACCATAGCCCGTGCTACTTGGAACTTGTTCTGAGTAGCTGAATCTATAACAACAAGAACTCTCAAGGCTGTTGCAGATTATCACTCAGGCTATGGTGCCAATGTCAGAATTGTCAAAATGATGTACCTTGCACACATCAGATCTTTAGTGGATTATGCTGCACCTCTGCTTGTTTTGATGTCTGAAAGAAAGCTTGGAGGGCTTGAAAAATTGCAGAACGAAGCCTTGAGGATAATCCTTGGGTGCCCTCGTACCACAAAGATATTTAACATGAGAAAGGAACTTAATATTCAGAGTATTTTGATCGTGCTACTGAAATTAACTGTCAAATTGGTTTAATAATGCTTAGGCTAACTCATCCTAACCCTTGCACAGAAGCCCTCCAGAATTTCTTTATTGAAGGTCAGCAGATGGATAACTAAAACTGGGAATGATCTCAAACTGCATCAGGTTTATAATTTGTACCAAGAGAAACAACAGCGGCACTTTCCTGCACCGTGGAAGATTACACCTTTTCCAATTTTAATCCTTCCCTTTCCATCCAAGAAACAAATTAGAGATCAGCCCAAGCTTCGTTTTGAGACAAAGCTCAACGCCTTAACCCATATTGATGCTCTGTCCACAGAGCACTCTCTAAAATCATATACACTGATGGTTCCCTACACCGCACCACGGGTGCAGCTGGAAGTGCAGTTGTCCTGACAATGGGCGATGGCTTATATTTTGAGTGGGGAGTCCGTATAAACAATTGGGTCTCTACCCTTCAGACCGAACTATTTGCCTTACTCCTTGCACTGAAATGTGTACAAGTCTCCAAACTTGATACATTAATTGTAAGTGACTCTTTATCATCCTTAAACGCTGCGCGTACTAGTGGCTTTACAAGAGTGCAATTACTGTACTATGCTATGTATTCTCACAAACCCAATGTACCTTCTTGTATATAAATAAATAAATAAATAAATAAATAAATAAATGTTCTCAACTCTGTAAGACAAACTGTAAAATATATAAATAAATAAATACAAAAATAAATAAATAAATAAATGTTCTCAACTCTTTAAGACATAACTAACTGTAACATGCTCGTGTCCGAAGCTAGACACAAATACAACAATATTATTAATGATGGTAACAGAGTCCATTTCCTGTGGACTCCATCTCATGTTGGCCTCTGAATGCACAATAGAACTGATAAGTTAGCCAAAGAATCTGCCTTTAAAGGAGCCGTTGAGTGTAACCTTGGAATGTCAATGAGCAATTTGAGAGCAGCAGTACACCGAAAACTTCAACAAAATCTTATAGATCTGAAGCAAAATGAAATCGACACCAGTAATTCCATCTATCATCATACTATCATGCAAGAGGAGCCACACATCTATGGATCATCCAATAAAATCAGCAGACTTCTAGACGTTACTACTGCTCGGCTTAGACTCGGTAACAAGTATCTCTGGGAATTCTCATTATCTGCTGCTGTAGACCTGACTAAATGTAATTTACCTGAATTTACCTGAGGGCCACTAATACTAGTAGCCTCGATGAAGACAGGAACCCGGCGGCTTGTCAAAGGTCCCCCCATTTGCCCTGATGATCTTTTCCAGCTGTATTTTAAAACCCAGCAGAGTTTTGTCGTTTACAGCTTCGGCGGGTAGGCGGTTTAGGTTTACAACCCTATGGGTGAAAAAGCATCTCCTGTTTTCTGTCCTACATTGTGGCTTGTTGAGCTTGAACCCGTTGCTCCTCGTTCGTGTTACATCTGACCTTTTGAAGAAATTGTCTGGATTGACATCCTCCAAATTGTTCAGTATTTTAAAGGTTTTAAAAAAACAAACTTAAATATTCCTAGCTCTTGTATAACAGATTTACTATGTAAGGCCTAAGAGAGTGTGTATTAGGCCTATGAATGCTAGGAGAATTTAGGTTAGGTCTTATATTTATGTTGTGGTAAAAAAAAGTTTCTGGTTTATCCAAATTTAGTAATACAAAAGTGAACTTTCTGGTGGTCTATCACTGCATATTGGTACTTTCCACCAAATAGTTATTATAAATACTTGCATTTAAAGAGGATGGGCTGAAATAAAGCACTAATTGCTGCGACTATTTCATCCTATAGTCATCCTATTGCTGCACATAGGATGTCGACTTCCTTCCTCGTGTTTATTTAGTTGTCATAGGGCATCATGGCTTCGTTTCGCATCTTTTCCAACCCTCTAAACATTCTCTCAGGCACTAGAGCAAACGGGTGTAGCATAATCAATTAAAGATATACGAGAGTAACATAGTTTTCTCAAATCTGATATGTGCACCATAGCTGGGGTGATGACCTACATCTTTGAGAGCCCCTGAACCTCTCTCTACACTGACGACCCAGTGCATATATCTCAACACTAAGGTATTTGAATCTTGTTACAAGCTGAAAACTATCATATAGTTGCATCTTGCAAACAGCTATTTCCCGGCTAGGACGAGCTGAAATGTTGTCTGTTCTTCATTTTCAGGCGTGTAGGTTGGGCCTAGCACTACAAATCCAAGCACACGAGAACACTGATAAAATGCTGGAATTAATGTATACAATTGTTGAAGAGGAAGCACAGTCTGCCTGAATGGAGACGAGCCTAACTTCAAATATGTTGTGTGTTAAAAGAGTGCCTCAACTATTTATTAATTTTGGGGCCTCTTAGTTTCTGTAAGTTGGAAAAAAAGACCCTTGCAACCTAACTTCAAACCACATTATATATATAAAAAAATAGAAGGATTTATGACAAGGTACCAGAGAGGAGATTACTGTATCGACAAATTTACCTATACGAGCTTCAATAATGACAAAAAAAAAAAAAAACAGAAGCTGGATTTACAATACAGTATAAAAGTGTAAGACGTGTCGGTTATAACTATATTCGGCTCACTGTTCATCTTGATATACTTTCTTATACATTTCATATTATGTTAATAAAGTTCAAGGGGCCTGTAACATAGTAGTTTACGTTCTCGACTCACAATCAAGAGACCCAGGTTCAATCCCCTGGCAGAACAGAAATGGTTGGGCAAGTTTCCTTTCACCAGATGCCTTTGTCCATCTAGCAGTAGAAAGGAAATAAAGCAATTGTTACGAGTTGCATCCTGGGAAAGGTTAGTAGTTAGCCTACGGCTCTGGAGTCTCAAAAGAGTCTGGCTAAATCTGTGAAACACTCCATGCAAATAAAAGGGCCCAGTCTTTTGAACTCGCTTCCTGATGAATTAAAAAGTTGTCCAACTTATGCCCTGTTCAAAAGTAAAACCAAAAAGTATCTAATTTCATCCTCATCGTTTCCTACTGCGTGCTTCAAACTCACATCATATTTTGTACTACCCACTTTCCCAATATTAGTACTTAAGACTAATTAAGAATTTAATCTTTACCAGTGTAATCACCTCTGTCAATTTATATTGTTGATATATAACCCTGCTACAATGTAATTTTTCACATGTGATTAAATAAAAAATTGGTTTACTGAGAATTATATAAATTATATATAAATGTAGTATTTTCCCTTGTAAATTGATGAACATATGATATTTATATTGCATATTATTTAATAAAGGAAAACAAAAGTGAAATATACGACAAATCAAAGGCTACAAACGAACGCTCGCCATGTAATTGACAAACAAAACGCATTACTGTATATACTTCCCAGAGTACAACAAAAACCTGTGCAACAAAAGCCTGTGCAACAACAGCCTTGCTTGCTGCAGCCGTCGCAGCACGGACGGTTCACAATGTTAAAATACAAGTGGAAATTCTCAGAGTGGTCATGATTTAACATGCTGGAAGGCAAATATTCGAACTACGTTTTTAACATTTGTGTGCATAAGCGGCTAGAGAAAATTCTAACAGCATATGTAATGTGTGAAAGCAACATTAGGGTATGCGAATGTATATGCACGTATACTGTACTGTCAAAATTGCGAACGCCCTAATATGAATGTGGGTGTCGGCACAGTATGTGTATGTCGGCAAAGGATGTATACGTTGGTCAGCGTACCTTTTTGATGTCATCGGGGCGCGACTCTGGGCTGGGGCTGCTGTTGTGAGAGTTTTCATTCTCCTCCTTGTCCTCGCTGTCCTGAGACTGCAAGGTTATAAAAAGCCTTACAAAAGGAATTCAAACACCAACAGACCATTTGGTCAGCTCAGAGGCCAGTCAATTTTACTGAAGCCAAATGCGTCAATTAGGGTTCAATATCAGCAGATAGGTGAAGGAGGCAATCTATAATGAAGATCAGGTTAATACTCAAGAAGATTCAATCAAGGTCAGCTAAAGTTAGTCATGCTAAGAAGAGTCAATCACGGTTAGATAGTTGTAAATCATGATTAGGCTGCGTCAAGCAGGGGTCAGCCAACCGGCTTTAATTTGTCATAAACTTGAATTCAAAAAAAGCTATTTTTGGTCAATACAATATTCAACTCGGTAAATCTCAGATATTCAAGGGCAGTAATGTTAAACATCAATATTAATATAGCCCGTGCCGATTTGATTGCACCCAACCTTAAGTTATCATCAGAGGCTACCCAGTGTCAACAACTACAAAATCATTCAACCATTGCACATCAGGTAAAATCATGCCAGATTATGTGGGATCAGCCAGAAACTACAAACTCTTCGATGCCTGCGTGTTCCAAGAGCAAGAGAGAGAGAGAGAGAAAGAGAAAGAGGGAGTGAGTGCGAAAGAGAGTGTGAGAGAAAGAGCGTATGAGAGAAAGTGAGTGTGTGAGAGAAAGTGTGAGTGTGTGAGAGAAAGTATGTGTGAGAAAGTGTCTGAGAGAGAAGAGTGAGAAAGTGTGAGAGAAAGAGAGTGAGAGGGCAAGAGAGAGAGAGAGAGTGAGAGAGCAAGAGAGAGAGAGTGAGAGTGACAGAGCAAGAGAGTGTGAGAGAGCAAGAGATAGAGAGAATGTGAGAGAGAGAGAGCGTGTGGACTTACAGACAAGCTGTGTAGAGTGGTGAGAGTGGAACTCCTGGGAGGGATACCCAGAGTTTTCCTTGGGGTACGCCCGGGCTCCTCCCCTTCTTCAGTCTCCTCTGGCACTGTAGGAGAGACAATCACCCGAGATAGATGACACATACAGATGTGACAGATATGTGTGTGTGTGTGTGTGTGTGTGTGTGTGTGTGTGTGTGTGTGTGTGTGTGTGTGTGTGTGTGTGTGTAAATCACGAAAAATAAAACCGTGATTAAAAATGTGACAGTGTCAGACCCACGGAGGAAAATATATATATATATATATATATATATATATATATATATATATATATATATATATATATATATATATATATATATATATATATATATGAGGCAAGCAGCTGTTTAATGTACCATCTCTACAGTCTAATTGCAGGACAAATAAAAGAGCACTAATAATAATGTATTTAATAATTATTTATGAATAGATGAAGAGATTCTGACAAGAGAGAGAGCCACGAATATTTAGTAATTTTGAGGACTATCTGGATTATTATATTATGGTGGTGATGTAAATTTGCTTAACGCTCTAGGGATGCGACCGATGTTCGTAGCCTATTTCTTATAATAGACTAACAAAAGCCCATATTGTATTTTCATATTAGTTCATACTTTTCGCATCTATTAGAATGTTCCACGTTTTGATTTTGTTAATTTATTATGCACCCCATACCCCTCCTGTGTGCGGTTTGGAAAAAGGTTATGATGGGCACATAATGGATTTAGGCTATGATCCCCAAATATCATTTAGTTAAAGAAATAATCTCGATATCCTAGTTACACAGTTTAATGTGCATTTCAATAGTCTTTTACAGCAACTGGTTCAAGAACCCTGTTCCACAGTTGCTATTGCGCGTTTTACAGTAGTGAGCACTCGAACATGTCGCAGGAGGATATGAACCCTTACCTACGTCGTAAAATTTAGAAAATCTTTTAAATGTACAATTTTCACAAAATTTTCACTTTCTACAGCCCCTAAATTAAATAAAATATCTTTATTTGGATACCATATGCGATCATATTTCTTAAGAACTTCCTAACGTTCTGAGAAATATTTTCTCACAAATAAATTTGAATTTTAGCATTCATAATCTTAATACTATTGAATCTAAGTTACAAATAGAGAGCCGTTACTAATTGGCCTCAAATTTAGTGTTGTTTACATTTTCAAACATTGGAGCTGTAATGCGCGATATATGGGGAACACAATAAGATACCTCGTCGCCCCGAAATCAACACAACAATATGATATCCTCAATACCATACCTGCGAACATGTGGTATCACTTACTGTACGGGACTGCCACTTATTAAGATAGTTACGTCTTTCTCCATAACTGAACTCAGTGGGACCTCTGATCACCCTTTCATATACAACACCTTCACAACACTGACGCCTCCTTCATTAAAACTTGACCTTAAAATCCAACCCATCTTCGACTCAAGTCCATTACATCCAGCGGTCGACCCCCACAGACGCATTCATAAATATTTACATGCTGTTCATTCAAAACGTGAATTTTCTCAAATATAAATTAATGTTATAGTATATTAGCATATTGTGCATATATAGGCATAAATTCGGTTAGGTTAGGTGTTTAGGTTCTGTTGGCGATTATTTGTATTTGTAGTATGTGGGTGAACCATTTATAGCGTTGTAGTTCGAACGAAATTCGAAAATGAAGCACTTGTTCCGGAAGTGTTCGAACGAATTCAGTTGTGAGTCGTGTGTAAATAGTTTTTCATTCATAAACAGGGGGTTTGGCGGGTGCATGGAATCACTTTTGGGTCTTTGTTTGGAAGACGGGCTGATTTACTCACTAATTCTTCTTCAACAAACATGTTGTTAGGTAGACCGTCCTCATAAACAAAGGCCAAAGTCCATTCTATGCACCCGACAAACACCCTGTTTATGAATGAAAAACGTTGTACACACGATTCATAACTGATGACGTTCGAACACTTCTGGAACAATATAGACTTCGCTGACGAATTTTGTTCGAACCACAACGCTGTAAGTGCTTCACCCACGTACTACAAATACAAATCGCCAATAGAACCTAAACACCTAACCTAACCTAACTAATGCCTAAATATGCACAGTATGCTAATACATAACAATATTAATTTCTATTTGAGAAAATTTCTGATTTGAATGAACAGGATTGTAAAATTGATGAATGCGCCTTTTGGAGTCGACCGCTGGATGGAATGGGCTTAGTCTGAGGACGGGTTGTGTAGTGTGTAAAGCGTTTATCATTCATAAACAGACTGAGGGTGGGGGGTAGGGTTTGGTGGCTGCATGTGATCACTTCTGGCCTTTGTTGATGAAAACGGGCTGTTACAGTGTAATACTCACAGTCACAGAGGGAGAAAGTGCGAAATTGGTGTCTCTGAACCCTCCGAGACGAGGATACCAAGGCGGGCAGCTTGGACTGTAGGGAGAAGCGGGAAGGTTGTGTCAGCGTTAGTACCACTGCTACGGGGGCTTATTATCAATATTCGGAGCAATATCTACCTGGGATAGGCGAGGCTAGGTTACATTTACAGTTGAGAGAACATAGGCGATAATATTAATAAGACAGCATGATATTGCAAAGGTGGATAGGTATAGAAATGAGTGGTAAAATCCTGGTGTTTATTGATGAGGTTGACATCTTGGGAATGAAGTTTACTGATCAATGACTATGGAGAGTCACGTGATGACCCTAACAAGTATGTTATCCAAGAAATTTACAGCCCTAAGGCGTATTTTATACCCTCTCGACAGTGATGGTGTCGTCACTACCGTCTAGACTACAGTATGCACTGCTACGCAAATTGTCTGCTTCTCATTATTTATCCGAATTCGGGACAAAGTAGACAACCGTGGGAGAAGACTAACCTTGTAGTCTTGTCCCGTTCTGGTTGGACAGCTCCTCCAGAGCCTTCAACATCCAAGAAATGTTGGCGGACTTACTGTTATGTACAAGGCTAATGTTCACAAGGTTCTCCACCTGGCCCAGCTTCGTGGACAACTACAAGACGGAAGCACAACACAAGGCGTTAAGCCATAAGCCATCGAGGAGAACTCACCGCGTCACCCTCGTCCAGTCGCAGCTTGGCGGAGGCGAGGGGCAGGAGCCTGGGGCCTGCCGCTGACGACCGACCATTGGCTTCACTGCTGTCGAAGTGAAGCGGCGATAGTCTGCGGAGGATGGGTGCTGGTGAGTGGGTGTACTCTTGTACAGGACATGTAGCTCTATGGGGCACAGTCTTAGTACGGGGCGTACTCTCGCACAGGGATGCGTGCACGTGTAGGGATGGTACACGTGTGGGGATGGTACACGTGTGGGGATGGTACACGTGTGGGGATGGTACACGTGTGGGGATGGTACACGTGTGGGGATGGTACACGTGTGGGGATGGTACACGTGTGGGGATGGTGCACATGTGGGGATGGTACACGTGTGGGGATGGTGCACATGTGGGGATGGTGCACGTGTGGGGGTGGTGCACGTGTGGGGATGGTGCACGTGTGGGGATGGTACACGTGTGGGGATGGTGCACATGTGGGGATGGTGCACGTGTGGGGATGGTGCACGTGTGGGGATGGTGCACGTGTGGGGGTGGTGCACGTGTGGGGATGGTGCACGTGTGGGGATGGTGCACATGTGGGGATGGTACACGTGTGGGGATGGTGCACATGTGGGGATGGTGCACGTGTGGGGGTGGTGCACGTGTGGGGGGTGGGGCACGTGTAGGGATGGTGCATGTGTGGGAATGGGACACGTGGGGAGATTGTGCACGTGTGGGGATGGTACACGTGTAGAGATGGGGCACGTGTGTGGATGGGGCACATGTGGGGATGGCACACGTGTGGCCATTTCATACAAGCTGGTATGGCAATGGAATGCGTACAGGTGTGGGGAATAGGACACGTGTTCACACTGACCCACGCCCTCACCCTCTACCCTCACTACTCACGTGAAGGAGCTGGGGGGCCTCTCCCCTCGGCTGGTAACCGTCCCGCTGAAGAGCGTCCTCTCCCTCTCCCTCGGGGTGAAGGGGCGCTTGGTCTGCACCGTCCTCACGCCCATCCGCTGCACGCCCGCGCCGCCCACCAGCGGGGTGTCGCAGAGGGACGCCCGCGCCTCGCGGATGATCTGTGCGGACGTCTTGCGGTCGGGGGGAACGTAGAACGGAGACAGGACGTCGGTCCCCCCTACGTCACGACGTCTCTCTATTGCTTGGCTCATTTTGTCCGTGTATGGCGGGAAGAGGGGGTGTGGAGGGGATCAGTTAGGGGGGGAAGAGGGGGTGTGGAGGGGATCAGTGAGGGGAGAAGAGGGGGTGTGGAGGGGATCAGTGAGGGGAGAAGAGGGGGTGTGGAGGGGATCAGTGAGGGGGAAGAGGGGGTGTGGAGGGGATCAGTGAGGGGGGGAGAAGGGGGAGGGGAATAATATTGGAATATTCGATGCTGTTTTGAGCGAGTAGCGTTTAGTTCTGGGTCTATAGGCGAGGGTTGAATTTGTTTTTTATAATTAGTTTAGGTATACGCCCCGTAAAAAAGTTTAGTTGGTTCAAGGTTACGGGATACGAGCTTAAGATATCTGGGGACTCTTGTTAAGGTACACCAGGGGGTGGTTTAGGGCTTGGGACGAAGGGTAATATCATGTACCTGGAGGTAAGGGCTCAAGAAGACTTGTTTAAAGTGAAGAAGGCGAGGTTTAGAACCAAAAGTGTTCTATTTAATACCTTAAAAGTTTCTTTTATCGATCAGATTCAGTTTAACTGCTTAAGGGATTAGCTTTAGGACGGGAAGGACTTTCTCTCTCAACACCTGTAAACAAAAGAAAAAGAAAATGAGATTGAATATAAATAGATGATGGACAGGAAGTGACGGTGACAGATTATGACCCTTAGGTCCTGAGCCAGACCAGCAGGTGTCAAGCCACATCTTGTACACATAGTATAGAAGAATAATAAAAATGACATATAATAATGATAATAATAATAATAATAATAATAATAATAATACCACTCCTACTATTTGTGATAATATTAAAATTAATTTAAAAAGCGATAAGGATTATCGATAAATCCAGGGGAAATCTACGAGAGGGGGTAAAATCCCATACAGACTTTGCGAGTCAAATCCTATACAGCTCACAAGATCAAATAACCCTCTCCAGGACTTTGTGTTAAACCCCGGCCACCATTGACCTCAATAATTGAACTATCGACTGCGGTGGATTCTGATATCGTATTCCAGACTCTAGATAACGAACCGTCTTCAGATATTAAATAAAGGTAAGGAAGCATACCCAAATCTACCTTTGTCAATAAACACTAGACTAGACTTAAAACTGCACATAGTTAACATGAGAAAACATAAGAGGCCATACAATGGGCTCGAACTCGCGTCCCTGGACTCCTTAGGAATTACCATTAGAATATAAAGTTAGACCGTGTATCCATTAAAAACTAAAATTGTGCACAAACAGTTTAGTACAGAGGATTAGCCAAGGTAAGGTTTTATACACATTAGGTTGAGATCATTAGTTACAATAGTTGTAGTTTATACTTATGCCCAAACAATAGTGTGTTATCATAACCACAGCCATATTAATAGATATGAAGCTTTTGTCGTTTTAAAAAGGCTGTTGTTGCACTCAAGAGGCTACCGCACTTAAAAAAAAGGCTACTCTAGCGCTCTATATAGAGGCTTTTATCATTCTCAACAAGATATTATGGCACTCAAGAGCCTATTAACATACTCAAACAGTGACTTATCGTATCCAAAAGAGGCTATTATCGTACTCAAAAGAGGCTATTATCGTACTCAAAAGAGGCTATTATCGTACTCAAAAGAGGCTATTATCGTACTCAAAAGAGGCTATTGTTATCCTCATACTCAAATCTATAATGCCGTACTCAAGAAATTCCGTCATCGTTTTCAAGAATATTTTCGATGATACAGGTCATCTCCTTCAGAGTTTTATGTTGAAGAATGGTGTCACAGATCATATTTGTATAATTCCGGTAAGATCTGGCAACTCTGAGCATGTCAATAGTCGTATCTTAGCGAGTCTTACAGGTGCTGTAGTTCATTACCTACTTAGGCTCTAAGGTAAGTCTCTTATTCCCTAAGGTAGTCTCTGTGATTTACTTATGCTTCAAGGTAGTCCAGGACCTACTTATGTCTCAAAGTAGTTCCTGACCCCC